CAGGGTTAGCTACACTGACTCCTTGCGATCTTGCTACGGTACGAAAGTGCAAAAATGCATAATCGCACCGGCCCGCCTGGTGCGTTCCAACCTGGGTTTATGATTGTGTTTCCTTTAGACTTAACTAAAATTCCTCTCCCTCAAAAAAATTCCTAGAGATTTGAATTTTTTACCAAAATTTTTTACCGAATCCGAGTGATGATTAAGAGACGGATAATGATTAAATGAAGTTTTAAAAGCACCTCTGCCAGTTCTTTCTCTATTGCTGAGGCTCGAATAACAAGCGGCCCGCGCACGGCGTATTCCATGTTGATCACGTATGGATTCAGCGTTTCCAACGTCAAGACCCGCTCCTCGGTAGCCATTGCTACTTTCGGTGAATACAATGAATAACAACGCTGACAGTGAGCGGCTGTTGCTGTTAACGATGCAGCCGACGATGAACTTGAAGTTAGGGGGCTTGCGAAATGGCCTACCGCACTGAACGCTAGTCGAACAAGATTACTCTTCATCCTGAAATGAGAACGAGGGCAATAATTCGACTCTCAGGTACCTTTTCGTTTTTACTGACTTATTTTTTTTTTAAATAAAAGCTTCGAGCCATCAGCTTTTGTTTGAGCCACCATTAACAAAGTCGTTTGGTTGACCTATAAAAATAAACATCAAAATTAGTAAAGTACCATTAACCAGACAGAGTTGATTATTATATTTGTGTACATGAAGAAAAAAGATTGAAGGAAATTCAAAATATAATGAGATGTTAAGTACAATAACAAACAATAGCTTCAAGTTAAATAATATTCTTAAATCTTTCTGATTACTCCAAAAATTTGCTGGATTTCACTGTGAGTATGCGGAAAAGTAAGACGAGCGGTGTGCTGGATATCACTACGACTGCACAAGGAAGTAAAATTCGATGGGCACGGTGTGTTGCTCAACTTGCTTACAGTCGGTGGACATCTGCGCATTAATAAGTGGTACCGGTGAAAAAGTAAACGACCACGCAGAGAAATCCGAAGAAATGAAACATGCACACGGAAAAGGGGACAGGTATTAGGCGAAAGCGCACAGCTCAGGATCGAAAAATCTAGCGTAGGTGCTTCAAGAATATGAGATCAGTATTAGCAAGCGTAACCTTGATATTTTGATAAAATAAAAAAAAAATTAAAAAGGCTAAAAAATCGCTTATTTGAGATATTGTTGAAAAACGAACAATTAGCAAGAGCACTTTGAAAATGAGGGTACTTGTTGTGCCCCGTCCAGTCATATTCCAACCGCGCAGTTGAGAAACCGCTTTATATTACTAAAATGCGCTGCTATCTGCTCAAGAGTTTTGTGATGTACAATAAAGATTGTAGACCGTATAAGCACAAAGATGTGTCCGAAAAGTGAATATTTATCAAGGTGACCGAAGCAATCTTTTGCCGAAATGTTCTAAACTTTCGCTTGCGGAAGTAAATACGGTGGATTTTGAACGGCGTGGAAAAAAAACGGGGATATGAAAAGCAGAGCCGAAGCAGAAATGCTTTTCAAAGGATGGAAAGTGGGAATTTTATGGCGGCCATATAACGCATGCTTTTTTACCGAATCAATTTTCGTTGAATCGAAGCTATATTTTCAAAATTAAAATATAATAATGTTTACATAGACCCTGGATAGTGCACAGTTTCAAAAAAGAACAGACGTTCCACGTAAACTTATGATTTTATTTAGCTAAAGCAACTACATTCAGTTCAAATTCAAAGGCATCTTTGTCGAAAAGACTGTTCACAGAGTGATTAGAGAGCTATATATATGGCCGTCTTTCATTGGGCCTTCGGTTGTATTTCCATCCAGAACTTAGTGCTCAGGAAAATTCGCTCAAAAAATTCCTGGCACAGTCTCTGGCATTTAAAAAAGAGTGCAAGAAGAGCACTGATAAGAGAAGGACCACACAAGCGGGAAAAGATACACATTACAATTGGCCTCTTCGTCTGGAAGAACGAAACAAATCAACGCTACGATTAATAACGAAGCCATCACAGTAGTATAACTTTGGTCGTAAAAGCGGTGAGATGATTCGCCAGCTGCGCAGATGTAAAAACAGTGAAAAAACAAGCTGGGATAAGGATTTTCAACTAAGTACTGTATGATTAATTTTGCGTTCGGTCATCAATTCACATGATTAACTAAATTTTATTTTTCTAAAAAGTTGCTTTTTGATGAGCGCAGTTATTCTGAATTAACTTAGTATGTTTCCTAATATACTAAGAGATACAATTTCTACCCTCTCACGATAGGCTACAAAACCCCAATGCACAGACAAGAACTTAAAGAACAGAATTGTAAAAAGTGCAAAAACAACTAAAAAAACACACAAGGGATACAGTGAATATCCTACAATAAATGCACTTTAATAAATCTATATCTGCAAAAGTTGATTTGAGCAGGTTGCTACTTTAATAAGTAATAGATGCTAATGATAAGAATAATAATAGCGATATCGATAATAATAATAATAATGATAATAATAATAATAATAATAACAATAACAATAATGACGATAGCAAAAATGCGAAAATAATGATGAGAATAAAAAAATAATAATAATAATGACAAGAGTCATAATTATGATAAATTGCTTAAAGAAGCCATAAATGAGAAAGAAGTAAAAATGTTAAATAGCCATAAATTCAAACGGAAAATATAGCACGACGCAGAATCTGAAATCTGATGGTGCTTGCTTCTCTCTTAGGGCTAAAACCTTATCAAGCGAGCAGCTTGCTTATCAGTTCACCAGCGGTCTTTAGTATTTTGATTGCAGGGTGACTATTTTGTGTTTTGAATTAGTGGCATAACTAGGAATTTTTCGAAAGAAAAAAGTGTTCTGGAAAGTTTCCAAAATTAAAAAGAGTAAAGAGCAAGCTGGCAAGTATTTTTTTATGAGTCACTTCAGCGCAAAACAATCAAAATATGTGAAGTGCACTGGAAAAATCGCACTTGCAAACTAAATTGGCTCATCAACCGTACCAATAAATTGCATAAAAAAGAATTTAGTGTACTTCATAAAGATAAAACTACCTAACTTCTGTATTTCTTTTGCTAGACTAGTGCGTTGAAGAAAGTTCTGCCTTTTTGGCTTGTAAGTTAGAATTTACACGCTCAAATCAATTTTCTGAACGTCATAGGTCATGATGTAGTAAGACCTAAGAAACGACTTCAGATTTTTAGCCTTTAATGATCTCGTGAATTAAATCACCATAACTCTCTGCTGAGTCCTGCTACTTTTAGAGCTATGTTTTTTTCAAGACTCAGAGATGAAGTCACAGGTGAGGATACGACAGAATTTGGGAGCTAATTTTAGAGATATCTGCTTGAAATATTTAACAAAATAAGCTCTCTTAGTTATCGAATTATGAAATCAGACTGAGAGCGTAGGGTAAGGCACACAAATGACTAAAACTTATATAAAGTTATTTCCATGGATTACTGGATGAATTAATTGCTTGAACTAATTTTCAACTACTGACTTTCTAAATCCATAATTTATAAAATTAGTCGGGATTTGGACTCAGAAATATAAATCGATTCTAGTTGGCCTCTCACAAGATCGAGTGTCATA